GGCATTTGAAAACTCGGCCCCCGATTACCTTGATTATCGTTATTCCAACCTTTTTGGTTGTTGTTGCCACCCCAATTGCTATTGTTACCCCAATTCTGGTTGTTGTTCCCCCAATTGTTGGAGTTATTGTTGTTATTGTTCCAATTACCTTGGCCTTGGTTGCCCCAAATTTGATTATTCCCTTGAGATCTCCATTGTTGATTTGGAGCATTACCTTGTGGTCCTTGATAGTTGTTGGCATACAAAATCTCTTCATTTTGCTCACCATGCCCATCATCTTGGTTGTAACCACTACTACCTTGCTCATATTGATCTTGATTGTTTTGCATTTGTTGCACATGTTGTCTCCTCTTGTTTATCAATAGATTAACCTATTCCATTGCGTTTACTTGCTTTGGTCCCTGAATCTGCTGAAGCCTTGCTTTGGCTAACTGGTTCATGGTTGTTGTCAACTCAGTTATGGCTTATCCGTGGTCTTGAAGTTCTTTGTGAAGATTTATGACATGAGGGTCCCCCTGAGGAACATTTGCCTGACTCTGCCAAGCTGAGGAAGTGTCAGCCATCTCATCAAGAATCTCGCAGGCCTCAGCATAAGGCAGCTTACCCCCTGCTAGTTGGTTTACCACACATCGATTGGTTGTGTTTATACCCTAATAAAATGTCTGTTGGATTATTGTTTCAGTCATATCATTGTTAGGGCATTCCTTGACCATAGTTCTATATCTATCCTAGATTTCAAGAAGGAGTTCATTTGGTTCCTGTTTAAACGCTAAGATCTCATCCCTTAATGCAATCGTATGTCCCGGTGAGAAAAAGTTGGTATAAACTTGTCGGCCAACTCATCCCACGTAGTGATGGAATGGTTGGGGAGACTTTCGAGCCAGTCTAAAGCTCTACCTCTAAGTGAATAAGGGAACAATCTCAGTCTCAATGCATCCTCCAACACATTTGTCTATTTGCTTCCTCAACAGGTATCCACAAAGACCTTTAGATGTTTATATGCATTCTGATGGGAAGCACCTGTGAAGTACCCTCTTTTCTCCAATAAGGTCAACATGACATTTGTAATCTAGAAATTGTCCGCCCGTATCCCTGTTGGGATAATTGCACTTGCGTACCCTTCATTTTGAAGCACCCGAGAAGCTACTCGCGGAGGAGCTATGGGAGGGTCTGGAATATTTTCATTGGCCTGTCGGCCTCTTCTTTGAGCTTGAGGTACTAGAGGAACCTCATCTTCAACATTATCATCTACCTCATCCCCTAAGAGAACATTTCTGATAGGATCATTATTTGCCAATTCTGTACCTAAATCGATTAACTCACAAAAGTTAGTAAAATAGAAGGAAAGAAAAACAAGACACACAACTACTGAGATACATAGCCAAAACCGTTTAACTCCCCGGCAACGGCACCAAAAAGTGGTCAGCTCTAACCTTGCACCACTATATAATAGTGAGGAGTGCAGGATGCAGCTTTTACCCGAAAGGTCGAGATCGATTTCACAGGGAGTTAATATTGGTTGGGAGTTGGGTTTCTATCTAATCTAGCTACGCGTGTTGCTTTTAATTGCACTTCTAACCATGCTTGGATTCATTGCTATTCTACTTTTAATGCTATTAATTACTGAAAACAATCTAAGTACAATGTTTATGTAAAGTTTTCTCAATTGATAAAAAGCACTAGGGAAGTGACTGACACCTAGGCGAATATCTAATGGGATCTAAAATTTAGGACAAGCTTGTTACATTTGGGGTCATGATATAACTTTTACACAAAATTACTCACTCTATATCTCTCGGTAGTTTGAGTGACTTTACCCTAGTTGGTTTTCTCAAGCCCAATTGAGTGTTCAAACAATGCAAGTAAAATTGGTTCAAGTCTGGTATTACTATCTCTATGTTTAACCATTTAATTGGGGCTATCAATCTCTTAAATGCACCTCAATTCCTTGTTAGCCAAATTTTCCTAGATTTAGTCCCTCTTTCTCAAGAAGGGTCTAAGTCATAAAGGCACGAATCAGTGTTTTCAACCACTAATTCTATAATTAAAGCATGAATCAAGCTAAATATCACTAACCCATAAAAAATTAAGCCCTAAAATTGAAGACCCATTAAATATCCATACTAGGGTTGGGTCACAACCCTAGCTAATGGGTTTAGCTACTCATAATCAAGGTGGAAATCAAAGATGAAGATGAAATATAAGCCATAAAAGTTGATTACAAGAATAAAATCTAAGAATAATAGCTAAAGCTACTCTAAAATTACTCAAAGTGGTAAAGTACGGTTGTTCACGAGCTCCCTGATACAAAAGATGACCTAAAAATGTGAAAAGGATCTATTTATACACAACAGAAATTACTGAACAGAAATACCCCTACGGAGGTTCCGCTGTTAGCAGAATACTAGGCGCCTCAGCGCATGAACTTTCACGACCGCACAAAAACAAGCACGAACCGTGTTTCTTCAATTTTGGACAGGGACTGGGCTAGGTTTCACGAACAGCGTAGATTCTGTCGCATCAGCGTTAGCTTCAATCGTGGCTGCATAAAATGTTCGCGGGTCGCGTTCCTCATTTGAGCTCATCTTGCAAGGCCTCTGAGTCTCTATCTCACCCTCAGTGGAATATGCACTGCGGCCGCATCAGGTATTCTGTTGCCACGCTATTTTATTGTGGTCAGCGGTCTCTGTTGTACCCCAAAAATGCCTTCTCTGAATCTCAATTCCGTGGACAGCATAATTGTGGCCGCTTCAGCGGTGGACCTTTTGCGGTCTCTCTTTTCCTTCGCGATCGGCTCTTTCATCTCAGCTTTAAACATGTGCAATTTTAACTCCTTCATGAGTTGGTTATGGCTTTCTTGCCTCATTTTAACCAAACCCTGCAAACAAGCACAATAAGTCAGTTTTTGGGAATACTTTTACCCATTTTTTATCCAAAACCTAAGCAAAAGAGAGCATAAGATAGGCTAGAATCCATAGTTATCAGAGTCCCCTAGTCGCAACCATTGGACTCTTGATTTTTGTCTAGCGATGCTTTCTTCCACCAAGGACTATTTCTCTAGCTGCATTTTCAGACTTTTCTCTTCTTTGAACAGACTACTATGTTGATTACATTTTCTCATCTGCCCTTGCAAGTCACTAAGTTGCTGCCTCGGTGTTTTAATTTTATATACAATCATGTTGTATTGAGTTGTAGATTAATATTTTAGCTCCCCTTTCACGGCTTGTAGTCCTCTCCATACTTGCTGCATTCCACTTCTTTCACTTGTGCTTCTCTAGCTTTCTTCTACAATTCTCATGAAGTCCTGGTGATCCGCCAAGTAGTTGAAAAATCTGAAAAGTTTGATCCTCTTGGTTTGCCTTCCCCCAAAATTTACACATATGGGAGCATGATCAGAGAAAGAGGGGTTTAATAGTATTGCTTCAAGGTGAGACCATTGTTGCATCCATTCTGAGTTTCCTAATTCTCTATCAATACGGCTTTACACATGATTGTTGGTCCAAGTAAACTCTCTGCCCAAAGTTTTGAGTTCAGCCATCGCAGCATCCTGTATAAAGTCATTGAAGTCTCTTACTTCTGCTTCTTGTACAGAGCTACCACTAATTCTATCATCTATGTTCCTAACAGCATTGAAGTCCCCCATTAATAACCACGGACCTTTTTGAAAAGTAGTCAGCCCATTTAATTCATGCCATAATAATTTTTTATCGTGTATAATGTGTAACCCATAGACTCCAGTAAATTTGAGTTCAATGTTTGCTAGCTTGACTACTCCATGCATCCATTGAGTACTGGATGCTAATAACTGAAAGTCACATTGAGTTGGATCCCATAGTACCCAAATTCGCCCCTTTCCATTAGCCTGATAATTGTTGCACCATTTCCATCCTCCAGCTATTTTCTTTATTATCGCGGCAACAGCAGGTTGGACAACTCTGTGTTAAGTTAGCACTAGCAACCCTACTTTTGTTACATCCCGTACCTTAGCATTAGGATGTGTCGTAGTAAATTCACATGAGTTTGAAGGGATTATGTCTATTAGGAGGTTATAGAGGGTTTAAGACATTATTATTATGGGACCCTGTAAGTTTACAACCTTGATTCCGCTAGATATTATGTTACTATGGTATATTCTTTTAAGTAAAGTATTTTAGTAAAAGTTTTATAAGTATAATTTTGGATAGTTATCATTATTACTATTTTCGGATATGATAAATTATACATCTAATATGAGAAAGTTTATGAGATTTTCTTTATTGTAAAGATATAAATTATTTTACACTCGTTACAAACAAAGGAACTATTTTTTTCATTTTCTTACTTGTTTCATATTATCTTCCACATTCACTAAAATAATAGTACTATATATTTTGAATTAATATTTAAACTTTGTATACACTCATTCAGATACCATATCGTAAATAGTGAGACAGAAAAGGAGTAATATATATGTTATGTTAGGTTACCAAAACTACTAGTATAAATTTTTCCTTTCGAAAAATATCAATATATAAAGCTAATAAAATTTTGACTCATTAGTCAGGTGTGTGAGATCATTTCTCGCCAATGAAGGAAAATGTCATTAATTTGTTGATGTTCTTCTCAAATGTGAGTTATAATATTATTTTTTTCTATTAATAGGTTAGTGTGAAGAGCTAAATGTAAAATACCCTTGGTATTGCTTGCAATCTGCTAATAGTATGTAGCCTATTAGGCAGCAAGAAAGACAGTACACATCTTCACAAATAGATCACACTTGGCTCCCTTTCTTAGAGTAAACATTGACACGTTCACCATCGCATGTACCATCAGAAGAATTCTGTATATTAACACCTTATTTCTCCTATCTAATAAGAGGGACTTAGCACACACCTGGACGACATGCCTGCTTCATACTTCAAGGATAATTTTGTCTTTTCATCTAATTTTTAATGTTTCACTTGGATTATATCGATCAACACTCTACAGGCTCTTCTTTCGCTTCTCTCTTCTCACTCTTCTTGTTCTTATCGATACCAGGCTGGCAGCTCTTTGAGATACTTGGCAGATGCAGGTTATTTGTATCAAAAGGTTAACAGCCAGTTTATTGCAAATTCAGTATCACCATTATCAGAAAAGCTTTGTTGATCTTATCTTTGCACTTTTGTGAATTTTTCCGTTTGGATCGTTGTTTCTTGTGAGTTTTCCTCCTCTTCTTCTTCACCCATGTTTCTCTATTTAATCTTTATGGCATGCTAGGGCTGTATTGCTCAGAGAGTTTAATCTGTCCGTCAATTTTAGTCTTTAGGTGTTTGAGGCAATTCTTGAATGAATTATGTATTTTTTTTAGATTTCTACTATTATTTTGGGTTTAATTTCTCGAGTATGAAATAGTTGGGGAAACCTACGATAAAATGCTAACAACTGCTTTTGCTTTCAATTAAACACTACAAATTGAAATAAACCATCCATGCCTGGTATCTTTTTCTCAAAAAGGAGAGAAATTTCAATAGAGTTTATTTTTTGTTCACATTGATTAGCTGTTGAATCTGTAAAAGTCGATAGGTATTCTCAAAGTCTTGTTATTTCACTTACGTAGAAGAGGATGTTTAGAACGAGTAGAAGAAGATATTGTTTTAGCAGCATAAGCTACTAAATAGCTATTTGGGTATGGTAGTATCTTGAATTCTTGATATATGACATAGAAAGGAAAAAATTAATTTCTAATGAAACATTATTTTTGATATAGGTTACATGCATATACTTATTTTATGCACTCAGTATGTTTCAACATATATGCCCAATGCTTTAAATCAACTAAGAAGATAAAAAGAAATAGCAAATGAAAGCATAATTAGAAGAGAGAGAGAGAGAGAGAGAGAGAGAGAGAGAGAGAGAGAGCTGACTCCTAGAATGAAGAATTAGTAGGAAAAGGATTAACCCCTGCCTGCTTATATAAATACAAAGTCTCAAGTTGGATTCTTTCCTGAATTAAAAAAAATTATAGATGTAGATCTGTTTGCTGGGCTCAATATGAAAGGGCACAACATTAATCATAATTTTATAGCCAAAGAGAGAGATGAACGAATTGTTCAAAGTCGCTATTAGCTAGCCTAAAGTGCCTTTTGGTATTATTCATGTTCTTCTCCTGACTGATTTCTAGCATCAATATTTTTTTTGGTTGGTGCATAGTAGCCTCAATATTAAAGAGTTATCGTGGCTTTATTTGATCGAAATAATTGAAAATGTAGTGTAAGAAGACTTTGTAGCAATTATCTGCTCTCTCCTATGTCAACCTGGGTATGTCAAAGGCTAAAGTATAATTTTCACTTTTTGCAAGTTTTTTTAAAGCTGATAAACGTTGCAACTTTATTATGGCAAATACTTTTTTGTCATTCATAGATGATTATCATTGCCTCTTTTAAATAGTAGTCTGTTTTGTGTCACTCAGTTCTTGCTTTAAAGGTTTGATCTTGTTTCAAATTTTCATATGAAATATTGCTGCAAAAATTATCATATTTCAAGAACGTTGGGAATTTGTGTTCAGGTGTTGATCCAAAATCTATCTTATGTGATTTCTTTAACGTGAAGATGTCTGGTTAGCATTTAGGGGGGCACTAATGTATTTTTGGTGTAATTTGTGCCTCTTTTTTTCAAAAGTAGAAAAAAAGAAGCTAAACCTTTGCACTATACATCCAAAACAAAAAGATAGATCAATAAGCTAATTTTGATCAATGGAATTACCTTAGTGAAATAAGGTTGAGTGGTGAAGAACCTGTCCAGAAACACTGATTTCTCTTGTCCAAATATTTCTAGCGCTTTCATACATCGAAGTCGAATTTAATTTATCACAGTTTGTTTTCAGTGAGATTGTAACTTGCATCATACAATGTGTGTGATGATCACACTGAACAATAGTTGCACAAACATTATACGTAATTGATTAGATAAAAAATATATTCACTGCTAAGCAAATTGTTTTATTTGCTCCAAATAGCTGCAAAATTTAAAATAACAATATTTTTTACATTGTTTGTGCAATTGTAGACTACACATATACTTATGATGACTATATTGGACNTAATAATAATAAAATAAAATAAGAAGATGCTGAAATGAACGTTATGCTTTGCTGGATTTACTAGGATGATTTCATAACCAAAATCATTAATGAGGATTTTTAAGGATATACAAATTAATATAAAGCCAATTTGTTTGCCAGTGATGTATGACATGTCTCTGAGACATGAGCCCTCAGTGATTAGTATGCCATTTTTTGGTCTCCTAGATAGAATATTTAATAGATATTGTGTTATGTGATATTAAAAATATAATTTATGTCTTTTTTAAACATCTCATGAGAACTTCTGCTGGGAATATTTATAGGTGAAAAGGAAAATTGAACTGCAATAAACTGATGTATTCTAAAGAACCAAACAATTACTCATATGCAGAAAAAAGAAGGCTTCAATGCAGCTCAAACGACGTGATACGCAGAGCCAAATATCTGCTCGTAGAAAGGAAGCGATGTTGTTATCGCGACGTATGAGAAGACAAAATTTTGCAAAGCACAACCTTCTTGAAAGTCTGATTGTTGCTGTCCCAGAGCAGGCAACATCATCTTGGGACAAAACAGGATTTCTAAAACAAACTGCTCTTACCATACGAGAACCTCCTTCCCTTGCGGAAAAAGGTTAGATTTTTGTACTCATATTTAGAAACCATATGTTATTAATACATTGGTTCTCATGTATTTTGCTTGGAAACTTAGTATAATACCTTATTTATCTTATGTGCCTACAAGCTAAAATACTCAAATAGTATGTGCTCTATTGCACTCTACTTAGCACATGTTGAAGCTTCACTGTACACTTTTAAACGCTTTCGATGTTGTGTTACTAGGTACCAACCATCAAGCTTGCCTGACTATATTGCGTGATAATTTATAAAAAGGAAAGGGTATATTGGATACCCCTATCATTTGTGAAACAGGTAACCATATCCTTCTCTTCTTTAAAAAGGTTATATTGTTACTCATGTTTATACATTATATATTATTAGGACAAGGATGCTTCTTAATTTTGCTTGGAGATTGAGTATGATATCTTACTTATCTTATATGTGCATAAAAATTAAAATACAAAAATACCATTGTCTTACACTTTATTTTGGATCTACTGCGGCTTCACTGTACACTTTTAAATGTCTTGGCTTTTCTATTTAATAGCTGCCAGTCTTCAACAGTGATGGATAATCTAGAAAAAGAAAATTCTATATTGGGTCCCCCTATCATTCGTGAAACAGGTAAACCTGCGTTTAGATTATATTTTCTTTGAGAATAACATATTGTTTGTACATTACTGTAATCTGTGACTATTTGTATATAAGGGTCCACGTCGGGTACATCTAAACTGCCTCCTGTTTCCTTGCGCTGTTCCAATCAAAGGTTTGCATAAACTTTATATTTTAATAATGTCCACCATACGTGTGCCTTCATGTTTCGTTTTTTTAATAACACTTCTTATATATTCAGCTCATAGCCGGGCCAGAAAGGTGTGTTTGGCTGCTAAAGAGCAACGAAGTGACTATGTTGCTCTAAAAAATATTCTGCACTACCAATACTGTCGTGCAAAGAGGTTTGAATATGAACATCCAAGATTTTGCTGTAACAGTGGTGCAATAAGGTCGACATCTCATAAAATGCTACCTGAATTATCAGAGTTATACTTTGGAAATACTGAAGAATCTGAAAACTTTCAAACTTATATTAGAACGTACAACAACATATTTGCATTTACTTCACTTGGTGTAATGTATGATAAAGAGCTAGCGAGAAAAAATTGTGGTATCTACACATTTAGAGTCCATGGAAAAATATATCATTTTATAGATGATTTAATTCCTTCCAATGAAAAACCCAGGAATTTACAGTTGTACTTCTATGATCATGATCATGAACTAGCCAATAGGATGGCTTGTTCGACAAGAACTAATGAATCAATAGTGAAAAAGTTGATGGACATATTGAAAGTAAATCCATACACTATTTTCCTAAAATGTCTCTTAAATGTTCCTCAATTATCTGATTTCTATATTGCTCTTAAATGTCACTCAACCTTAGATCAACGGACATATAACTTACCCAGCTCATCAGAGATTGCAGCATTATGGCTTGAAGAAAATCCTATAGACATTTATGCACCACATATTCGAATTTACACCGATAGCAATAGAGCTCGATTAGTACATTATTATTATGGATGTTATGATCAGTTATTATTTTCCTTTGGTGAAAAAGGATGGCATTGTGAAATCAAAAAAACTATTCAAACAAATATTGTGACGAAACATAGAACTTACTGTGAACATGAACAGTTGCCCAGTATATCAAACATGTGTTCAGTTGATGGATTTCTTGATATGGAAGACGAATCCTTACAAAAAGGAAAACGAAAAAGAGATACAGTGTCTTGTCGAGAGTGTTACTGTTATAGCTTTCAAATAAGAGATAATGAAACAAATGAAGTGATACATTATGGAAGAATATTCCAACAATTTATAGTGGATGCATATATAAAACTTGAAACACAAAGATTAGACTTCTTCTCATTTAATCCAGATTTATTTAGAATTGAAGTCTTGCAATGACTCCTTGATATTTTAAGATTTGGTGAAGGGAAGCCTCTAAAATTGAAAAGAAAATGTTCCTCCCTGTTACATTTATAAGGGGACCAAGGGACATGCGCCGACGATACATGGATGCTATCGCATTGGTACAATATTTTGGAAAACCTGATTTCTTTATAACAATGACATGTAATTCTTCTTGGCCAGAAATAAAAGAACATTTGTCACTAGCTGATTAGGTACAAAACAGACCTGATTTAGTTAGTAGAGTTTTCAGAGCAAAGGTAGAAGAATTAAAGACGGATATTATAAAAAGACAAATCTTTGGAAGAGTTGCTGGATTCATGTATACTATAGAATTTCAAAAACGTGGTATTCCACATGCTCATTTCCTTATTATACTTGCTGATGAACATAAATTACTTACTCTTGAATCTTATGATAAATTTGTCTGTGCAGAATTGCCTGATTCTAAAAAAGATCGCGATCTATATTCACTTGCTATTAAACATATGATGCATGGTCCTTCTGGAAAGGTAAATCCTACAAATATTTGCATGAAAAATAATAACTGCAAATTCAAGTATCCAAAAGATTTTGCTGAACAGACATTAAAAGGAAAGAAATCATATCCAATATATAGAAGGAGAAGAACCGGAGAAGCTGTAGAAGAGGTGAGTTTCTCGATAATTCTTTGGTAGTTCCATATAATCCATTTTTTCTATGCAAGTATAATTGTCATATGAATGTTGGAGTTTGTTCTGATATCAAGGTAGTGAAATATATTTACAAATATATTTGCAAAGGACACGATAAAATTACATTTCATATACATGCTAGTGATACAGATATAGACATAGATGAAATAAAAGAATATCAATATGCTATATGGGTTTCTCCTCCAGAAGCTGCATGGCGATTATTTCGCTTCCCAATAAGTGAAATGACTCCAAGTGTTTTTCACCTTCAGTTATATTTAGAAGGACAACAATTTGTCTCTTTTAAAAGTATTGAGAATGTTGATAGAATACTGAGTAATTCGATGATTCAAAAAATAATGTTAACTGAATTCTTTGTTATGAACAGAACAAATAAAGATGCTATGCAACTGTTATTATTATATAAAGAATTTCCTGAGTACTTTGTATGGTCATTTAAAGAAAAAATGTGGACACATCGAAAACAATGTAATGTAATTGGATATATTGTAGCATGTCATCCAACAGAAGGAGAAAGATATTATCTTAGATTATTGTTGATGAACGTTAGAGGACCAAAATCATAGCAGGACTTATGTAAAGTTGACGGTAAATGTTATAATACATTTAGAGAGGCTGCAGAAAAAAGAGGATTGTTATACTGTGATAACAACTTGGTTGAATGTATATCTGAAGCTACAAATTATCAAATGCTATATAGTTTAAGTCGTTTATTTGCAACATTATTGGTGTACTGTAATCCCACTAATCCAGCAGAACTTTGGAAACAATTTGAAGATTCAATGTCCGAAGATTTTAAGAATATACGTAACATGAATGCTAAAGATATTTGTTTTATGGCTTTAAATCATATTAATGATATTTTGCATTTGATGGGACGTGATATTAATGAATATAATCTTATTCCTGAGAAAATTAAACCTTCAACTGCTATCAGAGAAACCAATGACTGTCAGTGAAAGAAATATCATTATTAGAGAAGAAGATTTGCTTCTAGAGAGAAAATTAAATACTGAACAACGAAAAGCATATGACACCATTCTTGATAGGATATTTTCTAACAAATCGGGAGCATATTTCGTTGACGGACCTGGACGAACTGGAAAAACTTTTCTATATCATGATTTATTAGTTGTTGTATGATCAAAATGTTTTGTCGTTTTAGCAACAGCAAGTTTAGGTGTTGTGGCTTTGATCCTCCCAGGAGGACGAACTACTCACTCCCTCTTTAAATGTCCTATTGATATCGATGAACAATATTCTTGCAACATTAGTAAGCAAAGCGCACTTGCAACTTTAATACGTGATGCAAAACTGATTGTCTGGGATGAAGTATCTATGGCAAAAAAGAAAGTGATAGAAACTTTTTATATTCTCTTGAAGGATCTAATGGATACAAATGCTCTATTTGCAGGAAAAATAGTTGTTTTCGGTGGTAATTTTAGACAAACTCTCTCGGTTGTTAGGAGTGGGAAAAAAGAAAATTTTATTCAAGAAAGCTTATTATATTCTGAAGTTTGGAATCAACTAGAAAACTACGATTATTAGAAAATATGCGTGCAAAGACAGATCCTACCTTTTGTGAATATTTGATGAGAATTGAAAATGGACAAGAAAAAACAAATAGCCATAACAAAATCGAAATCCCTAATTGTTTTGTTATCCCTTTCATTTCTGAAAATCAATCATTAGATCTGTTGCTTAGAGTTACTTATCCAGATCTACATACATGTTTTTCCGATGTATCTTCTATAACTTCGCGTGTAATTCTGACAACCAAAAATGACTTTGTTGATGAAATAAATGATTTGCTCATAGCTCAAATTCCTGGTGATCCTAAAACATATGTTGCATTTGATGAGACTATTGAAGCAAACGATCAAAGTCACTATGAAGATTTTTTGCATACTTTACATCCTGCTGGTTTACCTCCCCATAAATTGACCTTGAAAAAGAATTGTCCTATTATGTTGTTACAAAAGTTAAATCCATGCGAAGGTTTATGCAATGGTACACGACTTATATGTTGTGCTCTTCGAAAACATGTTATAAGTGCTAAAATTGCCACTGGGGACTTTAAGAATACGCATGTATTTATTCCTAGAATACCATTATTATCATCAGCGAATGAAAATTTGCCTATTCCTTTCAAAAGAACACAATTTCCTGTGAGATTATGTTTTTCTATGACAATAAATAAAGCTCAAGGTCAAACATTGGACTTCGTGGGAGTTTATTTATGCGAACCTGTTTTTTCCCACGGTCAACTCTACGTAGCTCTATCAAGAGCAAAAGGTTCCAATTGTGTAAAATTGTTAATTCGACCAACCACAACAGATAACGATGATAATCATTAAACTTACAATATAGTGTATAATAAAATCATTAAAAAGCTTTTCGATAAATAGTTCCACTGGATGGCCCCAAGTTTGTTCTTATAATGTGATCATATAATTCATAGAAAGTTGGCTTGAGGTTTGGCATCATCGCAGGAATTACTCTGGTGTTATTACAGAGGTATTTTAACCATTACCTGTATGCTTATTATTCATTTAACGATTCTTGTTGAAACATATTTTTTGCACTTTTACTATGTAATAACAAAAGGTTAACTTCTGTTCTTGCAAATCTTTGCTAAACTTTTATCGTTCTTTTTAACGCGCAATAAATAGCTCAATATTGTATCTATTTGATTTTACTATTTCTATGGCATGTATAATATGCTCCATCTCTGTCTTATTTTGTCTATCTATCTTACTTTCTTTTTCTTGCTTCAATAATATTTGATAATCCAGATGCATTTTCTTGCATCAATACTATTAAGTTCTTTCATGCTAATAATTTAGAACATAACTACTGTATGATGAAGAAAATTTAAAGCTCACTAACGGAAAATTAAAAAAAAAGTATTATAGCTGATGTATTCATATCATTTAGATACTTGCTTGGTGACATACTTGAAAAACTGGATGGTTACTTTAACATTTCTTTTTCTATAAGATTGATTCTCGCTTAACTATTACAACTAATTCTTATGTGAAGAACCAGAAGGAACTCCATTTATACTGTAACCCAACCGGACCCAATTCCAAATAAAGGAGGACGGTTTACTGTCTCTTAAAAGCAACATCGCTAACTATATGTATATGTATCAAAATTATTACCAATTTTAGTTTTATTGTGACTAACTTCTACTTTCTTTTTTGTGCTTATTAATTAGGAATTGCATTTGCATTTCAAAATTTTACAAGATAAGGACGTATCATATGCCTGGAATAAAGCGGGTAGAACGTATCAAACTACTATGTTATATATTTTGATTAAATTACAGTTAAACTCTTCTGACTACTTTATTTCAATTTACAAAATTTCAAGTATTAGACTCATGAACATACTTCCAAGTAATTATATCTACATGTGTGCCCCATACACTAATTTTCATTTTGCTGTTTAGGAAGTGGAAGTTGCCAAAAAATCAGGGCAGTCTTCTGATGCTAAAGTTAAGTGTGAAATGGGGTACCCCACATGTTTGGCTGGAGAATCACAAAAAGTTGATGCAAAATCATGTTGATAATTCTTTGTTGTGTGGTGAACTTCTTTCTTCTTATATTGATAGTTTTGCACATAATCTTGGCTCTTCTACGAAACGGTTACACAACCTGTGTAATTTTGAAGCTGGATACTTTCAAA